ATGGTTCAGAACGGATTAACCGTAATTACATTGCACCTTATGGGAAAATTTGATTCGGGTCGCGGCCAATTCGGGTCACGACCAGAGTCGCGGAACGAATTAAGTTCATGAACCGAGGTACCACTGTAGTAGTTTGCCCTGCCAGTTTTGGTGAGGGTGTGGTTTCCTCCTTGGGGGTTCCTTGGTTAGAGTATTGTTTTCTGCCTGATGGTTTATCTGGTGTTGATCCCTGCTTACCTGAGAGTTGGCTGCTGGAGGGGAAGTGTTCTAGTCTCTTTGTTTCCTTCCTAGTTTTTTTTTTTAGTGTCTCTTTTGAATGGTATGAATTTCCTCTATTGACTCTCAAGGTCAGGTGACTACCTTTTGGGCACATCTGGCTGGTTTGTTTAAGGGCCACCTGTTCCCCACTATAGGGACAAAGATGTGTAGAGGAAGGGAGCTACCTGATAAGCAGAGGCCAGATATAGAGGGAAATGCTGGACTTACTCAACCAATTCTTAACAGAGAAATTGAGAAGAAGAGTGTGATAAGAGTGTGATAAGAGAGAGAGCCCCCCACATCCTCCTGTTAAGAAAAGGAGTACCTATTTGTAAGATAATAAATTCCAGCCCCATTTCAGTGAGAAATTCCAGCATCTCTTCTTACTCTTCTAACATTATACTACAGGGATGAAGAGGGGGAGAGAAAACCAAAACCATAGGATAAAACTATGGAAACAGAGAAGGGGGACAAATTCCAATGACAGTACAGCTCAAGCAATGGTTTGTATAAGCACAGGAACCACATTAGCCTTACACTACTTGTTAAATGACCAGAAAGGACTCCACAGCTCTGGGGCTCATGGAAGAAGTTTAGGAGCACTATAAGAATGTCAAGAGGAAAACACCCCAGTACAGGTGTTCAGTTCAGACAATACCCCATTCTGCTGGGCAAGACAGCAAGGGTGCTCAAGTTGGAGGAGATAGACACAACAGTACAGAATAATGCCCAGCCTATTATCTGTAGTAGTTTGCTCTGAGTTGGGAGTCCCATTGTTACAATTCTTTGATAACATATTATCAAGGAATAGAGGAAGGCACCACTAAACCTTGATTCTTCATTCTGGACAGTAAACTATATCTTCCAATAGATTTAAGGAATTTGTGAGCCACCTAGAGTCACCTATGGAGTGAGATGGGCAGCATATAAATTTGATTTATAAATAAATAAATAAATACAATGAGTGAGATTTCTCAGTCATTGATGATGAGCAAATGGTGGTCTTGACCTCCAGACTGGTGGTGTTGAGAGATTCCTTTGTGGACCTGTTCCGATGCTGAACTTGGATGATGCTTAGATCTCTACAGAACACCAAAGACCTGATAATGAAGGTAACAACAGTGAGCTTGCTTACAATCAAGTCCTTTGTTTTATGGACAGATCCTGATTTTTCAGAAGTAATTGTCAAGCCCTTAACAGCCACTTACTAGCAAGATTCTCAGAGTCGTCTTTAAGTAGATTTATTGAAAGGAAAAGCTGATTAGGTTACAGAAATCTTTGCAATTGGATATGATTACTTTAGTGCCCAAGTTATCCCCATGTTGATTACGGTGATTTCTTGATTCTCTTACTAACGAGATGTTGAAGTACAGGGGAGTTAGCTATTCGTTTTCCTGATAAGGGAAGATTATGTAGATGTTATGTGGTTGTAATATTTTGCAAACTGCCATCAGGCTCTGAGAAGCCCATTACAGTACTGGCAGAGGAAGTTATTTTAGAGAGGATCTAAACAAATTGTAAAAAGTGTATGAATTCATGTCCAATTCATCCTAGGACAGAGTCCAGTTCACCCAAAGAACCATGACATCAGGTGTAGCAATTTACAAGGGATTATGGCTAAAATATTGAGGGACACACACACACACACACACACACACACACACACAGAGAAGTGGATTACTAGTTCAAGGTCAGCTTTGCAGTGGAAAACAGTATTCCTGGTGGCCTTAACTTTAACCAAGGAGAGCAGGGGAACTGGAAGCATTATTGGTGAGAGGGAATCTTGCATTTTTCCCATCATGGCAACTGTTTTAAAAGTACTCATAACATGCTTTTGAAGGTTCCATTGGCCACAAATTATTTGGGAATTCTGGCAGAAGGCATACATATAGATTTATATAGAATAAGAACTGAAGTCTAAATATTAGCCCATCTGACATCCTCAACAGCTTGTGCCAGGTCTGCTAAAGACATCTGGCTGTGCCAAAAGTTATACACTGAAGAATAAACTCTTTATTGGGGAGTCTTCTATAGCAGTTGGATTAAGCTGCCAAAGAAAACATTTTGGAGACATGGTGTTGAAATCCTTGTAAAGAAGAAGAACCACCACCAGAACAGTTTAGAAAATATTATAGGGCCAGTCTTTAACCATATAGGAACTAATGTGTCTGACCAAAGTAAATATATATTAAACCTTCATATCAATCCACCAACTTTTTAGAAAGAAACTTTTTTATTTATGGCCAATTTTTAGAGTTTGTTTGAGAGCATAGTTCTAACCTTGGGAGCTGCTACCTTTTCTGATTATACTGTTCTTTCTATAACAAATATTTTTAAATTGCTGTATAAGCAAGAAGCATCTTTCTTGCTTTTGTCAACATCAGCCAAAGACTAAGTGCTGATAGGGCAGAATTCCCAATTACCTAAATAACATTTTAAAAAGAGATTCTTGTTCACAAGAGCTTTAAATTTCCTTAAATTAATCTATGATGGAGCAGAACTTTCACCTATACCTCTTTGCAATGGATTTTTAAAGTAAAAGAAATGCTTAGAACTGAAAAACACAGAATTGCATGCCAGATCGAGGAAGGGAAGAATCCGTGATTTCAAGGTGGTAGGAGATATGCCATATATCATTTTCTAGGAAATCTGGATATTTAATAATACTCTTCCCAATATAGTACTTCAGGCAGGGGACATTTTATGCCTACTCCATTGTGTGCATAAAGTATCTTCTAGTCCAGGAGATCTTGCTTGCAATCAAATCTGGGCTTTTAATTTTAATTGGTTAAGCAACATTTCTGTGCCAGTTTTGGGAGCATGCTGTGGGGCCACTCACCAAATGGCTGCCCTAGGAGACTTCCCTGTTCACAAAATGGTAGCCCAATTGGGCAAGTCACAAAAAAAGGAAGAGACAAGTTAGCTATTCAGCGTGCTCCTTACTCTCCAAAGGGTGCTTTAATGGAGCCCAAGGCATTACTGCAAATAAATATGATGCAAGAAATATGTGGCATCCTAGTTTATTTATTTGCTTTTTACTAAAATAATCGTTTTAAGGTGGAAAAGAGAGGCTGATGGGCATCCAGGGAAAGGGAACCTCATGGGCACCATGTAGGCAATTCTGGACTAGACATTAAATTATATGTTCTATTAGGAGAACAGAAGGGGAGTATGTAATGTCTTAATCTATTTCTCATTTTGTTGCCTATAGAGATAAGAAGGATGGTGGTAATGTATCATCCAGATAACTCTTTAGCTGGGGCATATCTGTAAGTTATGAATAAACGCATGAGTTAATTGTTAGTATTACTGCAATGGGAATGTTTCAGTTGCCCTCTTCCTGTTTTAATGTTGTGTATTTCAGTGGTGAGAGATTCTACTCAGTCCTTCGGTAAATCTAAATCCAGGACATCTGTCTGTCTGTCCATCTGTCTATCTCTTACACATGCACATATTTCTCCCCTCCCTTTTTATTACTTTGTTTGGTGAGAAGTTCTTGAAAACTCAAATGGTTCATGCCACTTTGCTAAACGTACAAAATGTTTAATATGGATATTAATTTTTATCTGTTTTAAAAATCTTGACTTCTAAAAATAATTTTTAAAGTTCTTTTTTTTTTCCCTCGTTGTTATGCATGTGAGGGCTCAATATGTAGTTGAAGTCTCCCAGGCATAATGAAACTGTTTGTATTATCTCTTCTAATAGTTCCTGGTATCTTGATGGAAGATTACTGCTGCTGATTACTTCAGTTTGTATTGTCTTCCCTCTAGCACTTCTTCCTAAAATAGGTAAGTAATATTCCTGTAGTATAATTTACTGTTGGCAGCCATGTTTTCTTTTTTAATAGCTGTTTCATTGAGGGACGTCAGAGCGGCCCTTAATGAGAGTTTAAATACATCAAGGAAAGTTGAGCAGGTTAGATTTATTTGCAACTTAGTCTGTCTTCCAGACTTGCCTAGTTAACCTATTAGTTGGATTGCCCAGTATTTTGTCTGCTCTACTAAAATAAAACATTTACAGAAGAACATTAAAGAGCTGCATTTACTTATTGTATGCCATTATTGGTAGACCAGTTCTAATTCAGTGCTGCAAAACTACATAAATGGTCTGTGACAGGCAAGTCGGAATGTTGTTAGATGGAGTCTTAAGCTCCAGACACCAAGCCCTATAATGAAAAACATACTTACAATGTGAAACTCTTTTAACCTTACATCAAGATCACTTTCCTTATAAATTGTCTCTTATTTTTACTGTTATTTTACAGGCTTTCTTGGCTACACAAGTAGTTTATCATTTTTCTTTATGGTGTACTTTGCTCTTGTGGTAAGTAAAAAAAAAAAATCCAGATCATAGCTTATGTTTTCTTTTTATTTTGATGGATTTCAGAATTCCTTTGAAACAGATGTCTGTCTTTAAAAAAATTTGTCTTTAAAACCAAAGTGTTCCTTCTCCTGTCTTTTATGTGCAGTGTATGTGTTTGCTTGTGTGTGGGTAAGTTTTTTTGGCTTAAAAAAAAATCAGGAATCTGAAAAAAATTACCATTGTTAATTTTTTGGAGTATAAAATGCAGTACAGTATATTTGTTTTCGCTGACAGGGCAATGAAAAATACTAGTCTGCGTGGGATGGAATTTTTCGTCTTTGATTCCAACCATTTACTGCAACTCGTGCAGAAGAAAATGTCATCTATTCCAAGTAAATTGAATTTACATGTTAGTTTAATAATACAAAGCACAAGAAGCAGCAAAACTCTTTTGAGAAATTTAGCATACATATTAATATATCAAAGGTCTTATTCTTTCAGACTGAAAGAAATACTTTCTCCCTATTCTGTCTCTGTGTCAAGTAGGTCATTCAGTGCTGATGTTTACACTCATTGCTTCTTTTGTGATATATGGAAAACAGAGTAAGGGAGTGCATTTGGTTTAGATTTGCTTCTACTGTGGTTTCTACAACAGTAGAGAATATGTAGAAATGGATACATTTCAGGATAGATTTAGACATGAATTGTCTTCAAAACCAGCATCTGTATGTACACTGGCCACAAATGTGTTTCAAGCAACTGCTGTAATGTTTTAAAAGTTCCAGCACAGCAACATACACATACTGGCAACAGCTACCTGATCTATATCTTGGGTACATGTATAGAATTTTGTGGCTGTACTTCTGCCATGTGTAAATTTGTTTCATCTTTAGTTGTGGTGATCTTACTAAGGAACAGTGTTTTAAATCTGTCGGTTGATAGGCCATCCAAATGTCACAAGGAGCAAATTATCAGATATACAGACAGTCCACAAAAACCTTATCTGTCTGCAAAGGTAAGAGAATATAGTTCAGAGAATATAATTCAGATTGTTCCTCCTATAGAGTTTCTCATTGCTGAAGTTATGTGGAAAAAAGCCACACTAAATATTAAATAGGCTGCAGAGGAAGAACTGAACCAGCCCCATAGATCAAAAGGATCTCAGTTCAGGTTTACTTCCCAACGGAGTGGGTCCTGAGCATAGCCTGAATGTTATGGCTGCCAGCTTCCACCTAGAACAGGCGGTACATAAGGTTATAAGGATCCAAGTCATAAAGGACTTGTAGGCGATAACCAGCACCTTGAATTGGCCCTGGCAACCTCAATATCAGTGTTACTGTGCTATATCTCTCAGCAGGCAAGTGGCCATGTTCTGTATCAGCTATAGCTTCTGAGTCATCTTTCAGAGCATCCCCATTTAGAACAAACTGCAGTAGTCTGATCAGAAGATGATAAGGGCATGAGTTTAGTTATTAAACTATTATTATTATTATTAAATTATTAATAAATTATTATTAAGTTATTATTAAAGCATGAGTTATTAGTCATAACCTCTTTATTACAGTTAGCAAACCAGCTAAAGCTGGCCAGAAGTCCTCCTGGCTGCAACCTCTATTTGCTGCTCTAACAGGAGCTACAAGTTCAGGAGGACTCCCAGATTGTGCACTTGCTCCTTCAGGAAGAGTTTCAGCCTGTCCAGCTAAAATTGGAACGATAGTGGAATCAGAAGGCTTCTGAATGAACAGTAACTCTGCATTGTGGGGATTCTTTTCGAGGTTGTTCCATCCTATCCAGTCCTTTAGGTGCTAACTGTCAGATCTCCTGCTCAGCCCAGGGTGAAGGTAAAAGAACATGGTGTCATCAACATACTGATGATACCTCACTGAAAATGAGGTTTTTCCTTGTTGTTTCATCTAGATCAGGGGTTCCTAAACTTTTTGCCATCACACTTCCCTTTAGTGTAATCTTAATGTACACATCTCCCCTAAAAATCCAAATACCAAGATGAACACAAATGAACAATGAAAACAATAGTGTGAAACTTTGGGAAAGGTGGATTTATTGTAACAATGTAACTAAAAGATTCTTCACATCTCCCCTGGACTCTGTCTGTACCTCCCCAAGAAATCCAGACAGGAAGAAATCCAACAATTTCCTTAATCCCGCATTTTTGTGGTTGCATCCTACCACCTTCTCAGCAACCTTCCCCAAATGAGGGACTTTGGAGATGTGTGCACATTGGCCAGGTTGAGAGATGGCCTCTTGAGTTGGTACATCATTGCCTCTTTCAAGGGCTGTGGCATCACCCTTAAGGTCTATGGTATCACCCCTTAAGGAAGAGTTCACTGTCTCCTGCATCCAACCCCTTGTTCCCTGTCTGACAACTCTTACCACCCGGGAGTGTAGCCTACAGGTGTTGGATCTTATTCCACACAGAGCCCTGTCCACTTCCTCAGAGTTCACAGGTTCAAAAGAATTGCAGATGATCTCACAAGGTATCACCACTATTATCTCATGAGATTCTGTCTATCAGATGTCCAACTCTGAATAAATACAAGCAATTTTATTGGCAAAATGCCTAGCAAAAAGGTCAGCTAATAAAAAAAAAATTGAACCGTGTGTGGGTGGATGTGTTGGGAGGTGGGGGAAGGGGGAGAAAATAGAAAGGTTATAATACACTATATTATAGGGGATAATTTTAGTTAGAAGAACATTCAGATATTTAAAAAAACCCCACTCAATCCTTTCTTTTGGTCACTGTCCTCCTTTTCTTAGGCTATTTTAATGCCCATTTTATTCTCATGGTACCCACTCCGTGAACCCACTACATGTTGTCAAAATTACAGTTGCTCCCTTAATCCAGAAAGGTTGCTGATCCTTGGGATGGTGTTTCCAGAATTACCCTGGGTGCAAAGAATAGCCTTCTATTCAACTGAATAATCTATATGCTTAAGAGCTAAATCCACAAATATGCTCATGTGGGGCTCTGGAGGAAAGTGAATAACTAAGGAATAGTGAATTACTCTTCTGCTCCCTTTCCCTCCCACTTTCATGTATATGCAAGAGTACCATTGCATAGTGTTTCTTCTTGGTGTGAAATGGAACAGAGTGAGCAAATCAGTTTGTGTGGACTAAGGTGGCAGCTTGCTTTTCTTTCTCGAGTTTGTTTGTTTATTATTTATCAAATTTATATGCCACCCATCTCACTATACAAGCGACTAGGCGGCTTACACATAAAAACGTTCTGTCACCTGTGCAGCTGCAAAGGTGTTTAAGTGTAAAGATCAGCTGGGTTGTCCCCCATTATTCTGTGATACTGTACTCCTAAAGCAAGCAACCCTCAAAGAAATAGGCCCCTCCTCTTTTCTTTGGGGTAGTCAACCCATGGGCCTGGGTATGATTACTTTACTACTTGGCTAACAGTAAGATTTGCTGTGTCAGGTTATTGCTTTACTTATTTACCTTCTTTTTGATGCAAATATTGGCTTTCGGCGGCTCATGTTAATCCCTAGTGTAATAATTGAGTGCCATGCATGTTGATTTTAATTTTAAAATTTATATTGATGTGTAAAGAAAGATAGGAGGGGATATCAAATAGGTACAAATAATAAAAAAACAGCAGAGTGGTAATAATGTTTTTACACATGTGTAAATATATATTTTATATATTGCTCTCTGCCCCAGGATAGGTTGAAGTAGGAATGAAAGCAAATGAAACAGCAGTAGCAACCATGCTTTTAAAACTACTGCTCCCTCTCTACCTTCCACCTAAGCAGGCGTGCTCCGCTGAAGTTCAGTGCTTTTTCTGTAGAATAATAAGCAGTGCCCCTTGGCTCCCTTGGCTTGTGTTGACTTGCAGGTGGGCCTTAGTTTTCCTGTGGTTTTAAGAAGATAAAAATCACATAAAGGCTGTCCTGCAAAAATGCCATCCAGAATGCAAGACAGCCAGTCCATTAAGGAACTGAACCATAGGATAAAATCAGACTTCAAAGCTGTCAAAACATCTCCCTAAGGGCAGCATCTTTCAAGATCTCCAAAATATTTTTGCCAAGTCTAGGAGATGATAATCTTCTGCAAGCTCAGCAGCCTCCTGTGAGCTAAAGTGCCATTCATTAATACCCACTTGGGCTTACCTGCATCCAGTATGTCTCAGTTCCTTGGCAGGTCCAGTGACAGATCACTTATTCACCATCCTGTCTGGTGCAAAAGGATTTTGACCAGATAGTCTGGGAGGCAGATTGTTGTATATATCTAAAGCTCCATGATGTCTTTAAATCCTAGACCATCTTCACAGGCTACTTACGTTGTAACACACATTTTTACTTGATTCTTCTTTGTTTGCTGGGTTCTACTCCCAAGTAAGAATACCAGCTGTTTAATGCTTTCATGTGGGCTTGATAACACTAGAACTGTATGTTCTCTTAGTACATATGTAACTGATGACAAACCAGGGATTACAAAACAATTATCTATGCATTTAATTGGAAATAAATCTCACTAGTAAGTGGGGTTTATTATTTAGTACATGTGTTTAGAACTATGATTGTAGTCTACCTTCAGTCTGTGAGCATACAGTCACTCTTTTTTTGCTTCCCAAACCCTCAGAAACTGGTTTAAATTGATCTGCAATTGTCCTCACCACTGTTGTTTTTGAAACACCAAGATATCTGGATAAGACTTATCTCCCTCCTAGCCACATCCACAGCTCGCCCTGTTATTGCCTTGTGAGAAATTTATAAAAATTGTACACAATCACTGTTTCAAGGAACTGCAAAGATGTTGGTGAAATGGCACCTTAACCTTGATAGGGAGGAGGGGAGCAGAATGATATGGCATTATTGCATATGGGAAACCTCCTGTCCTTAAATTCTGGCATTACCACAACAGAACTCAGCCCTTTCGTTTGACTTATAGCTGGGCTAGAAGTCAATCAGCTTAGCTGCCCAACAATAAAGATGACAGCATGAAAATACAGGGACTTCTGAAACTAGCACAAAAGCAGAGATGAGATCCTGCCCATC